TTGTGTTTTTTAAAATACATTGTAAACACTGATCTTGGTGATCTGGGTCACATATCCATGAACTGTGTGAGGTGCAGAAGGAAGTTCTCAGTGCTGAAGAATCATTGAGTTAGAACATGGAGAACGAATCTATTCAATTTTCAATGCAAGAGAAGAGATAGCCTGAGGCAATGGTTTCCAATCAGATAACAACTAGAATCTTCCGAGGACTTCTATTTTTAAATATAGATTTCCAAAGCCTCACAGAAAAACTCAAAGAAACTTATTTTGCACATCTAGAGTATAGCTTGGGTACCTGAGTTTTTATGATGCTTAGCAGAGTCAAAAGAGACTGTTCAAGTTGTCTAAATAGGAAAGGAGGTTCAAGATACAAATGCAAACAAAGAATTGATGTATAATATAACTAACAAAACTCAGGAGAGGTGTGACAGAGAAGGGAACCATTATAGGAGAGCTAAATACCTCAACTTTCATGATGACGAATCAGTAGGTAATGATGAGAAATCAAGAAATGGACTTAAAAGCATCATCATCCAGAATTATGGCAGCAACCATTATGAAAAAACTAAACCTGAAATTTTTCAAGATTTTGGCTTCATTAGTTCCCTCTATCCATAGTCACTTCATATCCATTGTGCTCTTTTATTTTTCTGTAACTCTTCATACTTTCTACTTTCTATCTGATTATATCTTTTATTTGTTCATTTCCAAAGTTATAGTTAAGTCCTATTCGGCAGAAATCTTGTCTGGTGTGTTCATTGTGTCTCCGCAATTGGAACAGTGCCTGTGTATAGTGGGTGCTTAACAAAGATTTGAGGAAGGAAGGAAGGTAGGAAGGAAAGAAGGGGTAGGTAGATAGGTTGGTTTAAGTAAAGGTAAACACCCCTGGGAAATGGAATAAGAATGGAAGCATTTTACATTTTAATTAATGCTATTCTGAATCATTTGAACATTTTTTACCATGAAAGTGTATTATTTTCTAATAAAAAATCTAAATTTCCCCTAGTATTTCTGATGTGTAGCCAGGTTTGAACACTGGGCCAGGGCATGAAAGAAAATATCTATAAAGATAGAGGACAATAGAATCAGCTACAGATAAATGGGGAAGGTTACTGATTTTATTAGTAGGCTTTGTGCTTTAATATTTTTCCATTTTTCATTGTATTCATGTTTTGGTACTAGTCTCTCCCCTGTGTCATGTAATGTGAAAGGCAGCGCCCAATCTTTACCTAGCACTTTACAATCATCCATTCCTTTATTCAAAGGAATTTTCCAGATTGTTTATTCTAGTTGGATGTCCACCTCAGTCCCCTTTTAAAATGCAAACACTCTACAGAAGAGTAACACACTTTATGTGACCAGTGTGTTAGCATTAATTTTTTACATTGTTTAATCACATCCTCACTCTTTTTAAATCCTAAAACACAGAAAAAGGAGATAAATCTCTCTACAGGATTCCAGCCATGAATGTTTTGTGTGATAAATGATGAACTTGGTCTCTTCTTTTTCATATTTGTAATTATACACAGGCTGGAAGTAAAAATGGAACTTACCGACTCCACCCTTCTTTCTCTTTCCAGAAACTGATTTTAACATTAAGGCAGCAAAGCCCTTTACAAAGTTTGCCTCATATCCATGTGGTCCCAATTTGGAGTTAGGGTCATATATTCAAGTGCGCTGATGAGTCAGTATTTTAAAGGGAAGAGAAAGTAAGTGAGTGTCATGGCTTGTTTCTGCTGGAGCACGCTCATATCTACTTTGCTCTGCGAGAGATGATTAACCTAAACTGAAGATCCTACCATATCTGTTGGTTTGCAGACTGGGCCCTGTAGGTGCAGGGCAGGGAGAAACCAAAGAAAGGAACAGACCGCTGCAGATTGGTAGGTGGCATATTTAATAAGCCATTTACATATGAGGCCATCTCCACACCTGCCTGCCAGTTGAAAAGTTTCTATAAAGGGCTTAACTGGGTTCAGCCACATGCACTGTCCAGATGGTCCCAACAACGCATCACAATCTCAAGGTTAGGCCCTGGGGACAGCTTCTGGGAGTGAGGAAGACAAGCAGAAGGCACATTCCATGGACGGGGAAGGAAGTGAGGAGCCTCTGATTACCCAGGTCCTACTCAGGGGAAACCGGGCAATCACATCTTCTCAATGACCTCCCCGAACATGTGCAGAGACTGCTGTGGTGCATTCTCAAAATCACTTCACTTCCAGGGACACCTGGGCCGCTCAGTGGTTTAGCCCTGCCTTCAGCCCAGGGTGTGATCCCAGAGCTCCCTCTGCCTGTGTCTCTGCCTCTCCCTCTTTCTCTCTCTCTCTGTCTCTCATGAATAAATAAATAAAATCTTTTTTTTGTTTGTTTGTTTTTTGTTTTTTTTAAATAAAATCTTTTTTTCCCATACATTCTTTTTTTTAATAAATTTATTTTTTATTGGTGTTCAATTTACCAACATACAGAATAACACCCAGTGCTCATCCCGTCAAGTGCCCCCCTCAGTGCCCGTCACCCAGTCACCCCCACCCCCCACCCTCCTCCCCTTCCACCACCCCTAGTTCATTTCCCAGAGTTAGGAGTCTTTATGTTCTGTCTCCCTTTCTGATATTTCCCACACATTTCTTCTCCCTTTCCTTATATTCCCTTTCACTATTATTTATATTCCCCAAATGAATGAGAACATATAATGTTTGTCCTTCTCCGATTGACTTACTTCACTCAGCATAATACCCTCCAGTTCCATCCACGTTGAAGCAAATGGTGGGTATTTGTCATTCCTAATGGCTGAGTAATATTCCATACATAGACCACACCTTCTTTTATCCATTCATCTTTCGATGGACACCGAGGCTCCTTCCACAGTTTGGCTATTGTGGACATGGCTGCTAGAAACATCGAGGTGCAGGTGTCCCGGCGTTTCATTGCATCTGAATCTTTGGGGTAAATCCCCAGCAGTGCAATTGCTGGGTCTTAGGGCAGGTCTATTTTTAACTCTTTGAGGAACCTCCACACAGTTTCCCAGAGTGGCTGCACCAGTTCACATTCCCACCAACAGTGTAAGAGGGTTCCCTTTTCTCTGCATCCTCTCCAACATTTGTGGTTTCCTGCCTTGTTAATTTTCCCCATTCTCACTGGTGTGAGGTGGTATCTCATTGTGGTTTTGGTTTGTATTTCCCTGATGGCAAGTGATGCAGAGCATTTTCTCATGTGCATGTTGGCCATGTCTATGTCTTCCTCTGTGAGATTTCTGTTCATGTCTTTTGCCCATTTCATGATTGGATTGTTTGTTTCTTTGGTGTTGAGTTTAAGAAGTTCTTTATAGATCTTGGAAACTAGCCCTTTATCTGATATGTCATTTGCAAATATCTTCTCCCATTCTGTAGGTTGTCTTTTAGTTTTGTTGACTGTATCCTTTGCTGTGCAAAAGCTTCTTATCTTGATGAAGTCCCAATAGTTCTTTTTTGCCTTTGTTTCTTTTGCCTTCGTGGATGTATCTTGCAAGAAGTTACTGTGGCTTAGTTCAAAAAGGGTGTTGCCTGCATTCTCCTCTAGGATTTTGATGGAATCTTGTCTCACATTTAGATCTTTTTTTTTTAATAAAATCTTAAAAGAAAAAAAATGAATTCCACTTCTAAATGAAATATCAAGAACCTCTTCTGTCCACAATGCTGCTTCAGGGCTAAGGACTCAGAGTGACCCAAAGCTCCAGAAGCACAAGGGTCAGGTCTCAGAACTTACCAGACAGGTTTCTGGAGGTAACAACATCACATCACTTCTGTCTGTTTCATATATTTTCATTTGAGCCAGTTTATTGTTCTTCCATATTTGCTACTTTTTCTCACTTTCCAGTGATAACCCAAAAGACCTGATCTATACACTACAAGGATGATTCTTTTATTAAACATACCAGAATTCTTTATCCAACTAGAGCTTACTCAGTAAATATTTATCTTGGAAGCCAAACATTCATTCTATAGATGTGCTATAACTCAAAACATTTTCAGGAGTTCTTTTTTGGAAATTGTCTTCAGGGCCTGGAGTACATATGTTTTTTAAAGTTACCAGTGTCAGCAAATAGGTCTTTAGGAATATAATTGACTTACAGCAGCAATTCTCAAAACTTTGGTCTCAGGATCCTTAATGTCTCAAGGATCCTTAATCATTAAGGATCCTTGAGACATTTTAATGATTAAGGATCCTTGAGACATTAAGCACAGAAAAGACATTTAGCACAGGTGAAAATTATTGAGGATCTCAAAGAGTTTGTTTATATGACTTGCTTAATATTTATCATGTTAGAAATTAAAAGTTTTAAATTTTTCATTCATTAGCTTATTTTGAAATAACATAAGGCACTCAATATTAAAAGAAATAACTTATGAAAACAATTACTAAGTTCTCTCAAACAAAAATTTTTGTGATAGAAGTAGCATTTTTTTACAGTTTTAAAACATTTTAGGGGCATCTGGGTGGCTCAGTGGTTCAGCATCTGCCTTTGGCTCGGGTCATGATCCCAAGGTCCTTGGGATTGAGTCCCACATTGGGCTCTCTGCAGGGAACCTGCTTCTCCCTCTGCCTGTGTTTCTGCCTCTCTATCTCTGTGTCTTTCATGAATAAATAAAGAAAATCTTTTAAAAATAAATAATAAATAAATAATAAAATCATTTTAATATCTGGCTCAAAAGAACACAGATGGATTTTTATATCTCTTTTTGCTTACAGTCTGTTGTAATGTTATTTTAAGTATGTGAAGAAAATCTAAACTCACACACATGTAGTTGGAAAGAAAGGATATTTTTTAAAGATTTTTTTCAGATAATTGTGATATTCTTTGATACTATGCCAAAACTCAACAAGTAGTAATTTCTCAAAGGTTAGTCGCAAAGTGAAATCTGAAACCATATCAATAAACTTTTCATATTCTGCTACATTAAAATCCATTGGTCTGTCTTCCACTTTGAAAGAATTATTTTTTCTAAAGGAAAATGAATACTTTTTTATAAGGAAAAGCATAAACGCGATCCCCCACTACCACAAATTATGCAGTCAAGTTTCCCACATTTGAGGGAGTCACAGGGGTTGGCACAACCATAGTGCAATGGATAAGCCTCACCCTGGGGAGATTACCTTCGTCATCATGGTTATCTCCCCTACTAGGTAAGTATGAAATAATTCTTTACCCATGAACAATTTTATAACATCATACATTGGTTATTTGGAAAATATTAATTCATTTAGTTGTGCAGATCTTCCAAATATCAGTACATTTCATTGTGCAACAGTGTCATGTGCCCTGAAAATTCTGGAAAATTCCACTGTACTCTTGAGAGAGGATAAGAATGAAAAAGGCAAAGAACATCTTACTGTTACTATAAAAAATATTTTCGACTTCGTGAACCCCCTGAATGAGTCTTGGGACTCGCAGGGTCCCCAGACCACACTTTGAGAACCAGAGACTTAGAAGACAACTTACAAGTCTTTCAGAGTAAAGTCTTACAAGGCATGTTTCCAAATTAAGCAACATGAATCATGTAATTTAGGAACCTGATACTTTCAACAACTTAAGCATCTTTTGTGGAAAAATGTATTTCAATAAACTTTGTCATTGTCAGGAGTTCTGATTAATGTCGACTTTCATCACTTTACATCACATCAGAAAGTTCATGATGTTGGCCCACTTCAGGTACTAGAATTGCCCCAATTGACACAGTCAGTTAGACACCGTGTTGGGTCAAAGTCCATAAAACTTAGCACTGTCACAATGAAAATATTTTCATTTCCTAAACTTTAGATGATGACCCATTTCCTTTCAGGAGTATTCAAAAGGATTATGTTTAGTTTAAGGAATAATTTGGCTACCCCATGAGGTTTACTGAAAAAGAATTTTCTATAACTCTAATGCAAATGTTTGTTTTCTCTTTTGAAACTGTGATTTCTGATTATAGACTCTAAAAGCTATGAAGAATCAAGAGGCCATCTAGACCAATTATCTAATTTTATGAGTGATGACAATGAAACTCGGAAAATCAAAATTGGATAGCTACTTGGAGCCTAAGCTGAAATCAAAATCCAAGTCCCACGACATCCTTCCTGGGCTTCTCTGCATAGATTGAGAAGCTTCTCAAAGGAAGAAAGTTCATCTTATCTCAGCTTTGTATTTCCCATTTATTACCCAACCCAAACTGGAGATGTGCAAAAGATATGTTCACTAATTCAGAAATATTTTAAACTTTTTTCTTTCAAAACCAAGTACATCAGTTTTTGAGTTATATTCTTATAACCCACCCAGAAGTCACCAGTGACATTTTATTAGCAAGGGACAGAGAAATATGAAATAACTTAGTGAAATGCCCATACATTGCAAAGCTAACCAAAATCAGAAAATTATTATCTATTTTATCTGCCTTGGTGACATTCTTCCAAATGTAATAAACCAAGGTTCAAGGTCTTAAAATAGGCAATAAAAATGATACTTGCGAAAATGACTAAGGATAGGTGGAGTGCCATTAATTAAGCAATAATCCCTTTGAAATCAGTCATTACCAGCAGTTTTTTGCTATGGGCCATTAACACTCTAACTAGCAAGTCATTAATAGTGGTAATAACCAATTCTGAGGGGATTATTGCTCGAATAAACTATATATAATGATTTTTAAGCTTTATAAAAATTTTCACACTTTTGTGTAAATCTTTGAATGATAAGTAAGTATGTGCAGAATTAGCTGAAAATATAACTGGCTCATTTTTTAAAACATAAGTATTTCTCTCTCTCTCTGTCTATTCCAATATATTTGTTTAGCATGTCCTTCAAGTTTGAGGATGGTGCTCCTGATGATATGTTAGGGTGTAGAGGATTTTTCTATCCTCTTTTCATACAATATCCATAAAGACTGTATAATAGTTTGCAAATGTCCTCACTCCTTTAGAGCCTAGCCTTACCATTGACTTCATCTGTAAAAGTCCAAGCCCACTCAATGTCATTTTTTGTCCAATTTCACCTAGGTCACTTTGATGGGGTATTGTTGTTGTTGTTGTTGTTTATGCATGCCTGTAACACTAAATTTCTTCTGTAATGTAGACAATCCCTGTAGTTTGCTATAGTTGCAAAAGACCACATCCAAGATAGAAATAGACTCGATTTAGGGGAGGGAGTGAATGAAAGGGTTCCTGATTATTTTATCCACATAGTAGTCCACAAATACAGCATAGGGAATAGAATCAATAATATTGTAATAGCATCATATGACGCCAGATGGTGACTACACTGATTGTGATGAGCACTGAGTAATGTATAGAATTGTCAAATTGCTACTTTATATACCTGAAATTAATATCATATTGTATGTCAACTATATTTCAATAATACAAATTAAAGAAAACCACTGTAATGGTAGCCCACAGATAAACACCCTGGCCCTGGCTTCCTCTAATGTCCCCAGGCACTGAAACTCCAGCAGGGCTTTTGGTGGTAGTTTTTACCATAGTCATATACCCATCATCACTTTTTCTTATCTAGGGCTGGAGTTGGGAGATCTAGAGCTGGGGTTAAGGGATGTTGAACCTCTCTGATATATTTGGTGAACATCACAACTTGACCCTTAGATACTTTTACAAATTATAAAACAATATTGGGTAAACATAGATCCTCTCTAAAAAAATGAGCCATATAAGAAAAAATCATGGGATACTGGAGGGGGAAAAAAAAGAACATGAGGAGAAGAAAAATGAGATTCTTCAAAAGAATTTTTTAAAAATCTTCTTTGCTCAAAAATAGTATGAAGGCATTTGAATATTTTATTAAGTGTAAAATTAATGTTGTCTATAATACTGAAGGGGATACAGCCTCTATGAAATTGATAAAATAGACAAGAACCAACCAAACTGCAGATACCAATTTAAAGCCACAATAAAAGGAATTGAAAGCAAATTCAACACTAGAAATAATTAACAAATGAATTAGAACATAAGAGTCTAAAGTTTCTTAGATAAAGGGATAAAAATGATAAGACTAAAAGATAAAACTGCATAAAAACTGGAAACTTTTATATATAATCAAATTTCATAAACTGAATTTTTTAAAAACTGGGAAAATATTTATCAAATAAAATCTGACAAAGAATCATTTGCGGTAATTTTAAGGAACTCATGACAAACAATTAGAAAAAGCTGGCTATAAATGAAATCATGCCATTTGCAATGACCTGGATAGAGCTAGGGTGTATTAGGCTAAACAAAGTAAGTCAGTCAGAGAAAGACAAATACCATATGATTTTACTCATACATAGAATTTGAGAAACAAAACAGGTCAGGGTGCCTGGATGGCCCAGTTGGTTGAGCATCCAACTCTTGGTTTTGGCTCAGGTCATAGTCTGGTCATCCTGGGATTGAGCCCTATATCGGGCTCCACTCCCACTCTCTTTCTCTCTCTCTCTCTCTCTCTTTCTCTCTCTCCGTCTCTCTCTCTCTTTCCCTCTCAAATATATATATATTTTATAAAATATATTTACATATATATTTTTTAAAAGAAAAGAACAAAACAGATGAACATAGGGGAAGGGGAAAAAAGAAAGGGAGGCAAACCATAAAACAGACTCTTAACTAAAGAGAACAAACTGAGGGCTCCTGGCGGGTGGGGGATGGGGATTAAGGAAGACACAAAAAATGAAAATGTTGGCTATAGGGTTGCCTGGGTGGCTCAGCGGTTGAGCATCTGTATTTGGCTCAGGGCATGATCCCAGGATCTAGGATCCTCCCGGGGGGAGCCTGCTTCTCCCTCTGCCTGTGTCTCTGCTTCTCTGTGTCTGTGTCTCTCATGAATAAATAAATAAAACAAAATAAACAAAAAATGTTGGCTATAAGTTAGTGGACAACGAACAATTTAGAAAAGTGACAAACATTATAAAGAAATGATTTTCTTCATTACTAATCAGACATACAAATTAAATCAAAACAAATATCATTTTCACTATCAAATTAGAGAAATATCAAAAACCTGTATACAACTACCAAAAATGCAGAATCAGGAACTGTTGTGCCCTCCTGGAGAAGTGAGAGGAACTAATATACTTGACCCTTGCTCAAAAAGCAATATTGTGAGATATGAAGATCTAAAATCTCTATGAAAGAAAAGTCCATTGGGACTGACATGCTTGCTAAGAGATGAAGTCTATGAATCCAGGTTGGAGCATGTCACTACTCTGACCGTTGAAGAATGGAAGAAGCGATGCTTTGTGACTTCCACAGCTAAATCATAGAAGGGGTGCAACTTCCTCCTGGTACTCTCTCACACCAGAGATACTCACCCTGAGAATCCAGCCACCATGATGGGGACACCATGCAGCCATGTGAGAAGTCCATGGCTCAGCCACTTAAGTCTCCACAGTTGACCACCAGCCTCAGCTGCCAGATACCTATCTGATGAAGCCAAGTGGAGCAGAGATGAACTCTCCCTACTGAGGCCACCCCAAATTGCAGATTCATCAGCACAATAGTGCTTTCTTCCCATCCCTCCAACTTTAAACCATGTTGATTTCTAAGTCTCAATCCCCAAAAAGAAATGCTTTCAACAGGGACTACAACAATGGTTCCAAGGAACTGTAAGTTAACATGACCACTTAGTCATTCTGGCTCCTCCATGCTACTGAGCCAACAAGCCAAAAGGGGTGGGGGTAGGGAGCTACTGTACTAGCCTGGGAAATTAATCTTTATTAATAAGAAATTGGGTTACTTCTTCACCTTGTGGGTAGGACAGACTAAGTCTAGAACCTAGGAGATTCTCTGAGGTATCTTTTAACGTCTTCTGAGTAATGTTGAAGATTATGGTTACTGGAAGTTTATGAACTTCCAAAGTAACAAGCCAAATCTTTTGGTCCAAGACAAAGATCAGAGGGACAATCTGTCATCAATTTTATACACATAGCCAGGAACACAACAGGCCAATGCACAAGAGGAACAACCCAGATGACCTAGGTCCTGGAAGAGTGATCTCTCAAACTCAGAAAAAGACTGCTGTCTAAAGCATCGAGTTCCAAAAACTCCAGGTGGCCAGATTGGTTGGAAAGAGGGAGAAAGACAAAGTGAGCTTGTCACCTGCCATTGTACACTTCCATATTTTAGCAGTTCTAATTCTAGTGATGGAAACATTTTTATTCTCCTTAATCATAAT